CTCCCCCCAAAAAAAAACCCCTCTGATCTTTCTCGAAATTGTTTATTTTTTTTGCTGTCACTGACCAACATAAGTGACGTAAAGGAGATATGGATCACTGACAAAAAATCTTTCTTTTTTTTGAAATTTCATGAAAAAATAAAACTTAAAAGGAAAAGCATTAATGAAGTGAAAAAAAAAAAGTTAAAAAGAAGCTATAAAGAACGGTGAAAAATATGTGCAGTAGTGTGTGTCTGTGTGTCTGTGTGTGTGAATTAGTGCTCGTGTGTGTTACTGTGTGTGTAGGTGTGTGTCTGTGTGTCTGTGTGTGTCTTTGCTTCTAATGGTGACGATGATGATCGTTTACCTGTAGCAGCGCTGCAGCCAGCAATTGCTGTTGGCGGGAAATGGTGGAGGGATGAAGAATCGTCTGACTTTGGGAATCAATGGTGGACCAAGTTTTCTTCGTACAGCGTTATTTGTGCCTCAGTTAACGTCGGGGGCACAAATACATACGCCAGTCGAAAATCAACCAACAAATAAATCTATAGAAGACGATGGATGAAGAACAAAAAACTGAAAAAACTTTTTTTTACAGTAATAACAATTATAGCTTCTGCTCACAGCTTTTTCAACTATATTCAGCTATAGCCAAACTATAAATAGAGCTATTCAACAATCAAACAGTAGCAGTAGCCAGCAGTAATAGGTTGTCGTTCGGCAATAATCCAACAGTAATTAATTGTAGATAAAAATGAAAATACTCAGCAAATACACTGTTTGTCTTTCTTCCTTCTTTCACTAAAATAAGCTTAATGAAATAAGCACACAGTATAATCACAGATTTGTACAGCTAATCAATACTGCGCACCTTTGTTCAATTATACAAAAGTTTTGTCTCAATTTACTTCCAAAAAGATTTTTATTTATGAATTGCTACAATTGCAAATTTACTTAATGCCAGAAAAAAATAACCTGATGACAATCAACAATTTTAACAGTTCCAAAATGCTGCAATTTTGGTGATGACGACAGCTTAAAAGATAGTAGCGACGGTGTTTCCCCCCTTCTCGTCTGTACCTTTCGTCGACAGTGTTCTCTTTTTAGATAGCAATCCTAATCAACTGATTCCCGACCAAAGTATAAATTTGCCAGAAAGTTGTCGCTTCTGAAAATGATGTACATAAAAAAAATTTTTTTCCCCTGGCCATCATGCATCCAGCAGTAATTCTCCAACAATATCAAAAGCCATAAAAATGAACCAGCCCAATACGAACGGCTGACAGTGGTACAACAAACATCATCAACATCACCATTAACAGTACATATACATACATACACACATATACACATCGAAAAACATTCATGCACAAACACATACACGTATTCCTATCGAACACATCAGTCCAGCTGTTCATATTAGCTATACCAAAGATAAATGAATTAAAGTAAAAATAAGATTAGGAAATAAGTGTTAGCAACAGAAACACTAATTTTTTTTTCATTTTGCATTTTACCTATCAGAAACAAGCGCTTCCAAAAAATTAAGCTGAAGTCCTTGTACAAAGCTTCAGCTTAATTTTTTGGAAGCAAATTTTGAAATTTATTGGAAGCAAAGTAAATTTTGAAGAGCAGTGACAAAGCAAATAGTCAATGAAGAAAACAAAATTAGGAACTTCTTGCTGTTCTGCTTCAAGAAACACAACAAAAACATCAAAAATTAGAAAAGTCGACCTCCGAGCTGCGCAGAAAGTAGCGCAGACAGTTGCTATTCCCATCGTTTTTACAAAATAAATAAAAAGTTGATGAAAACTGACAAAAAAAAAATTTTTTTTCGTTCAAACCAAACCCCAAAAAGTCTTCAGGAATAAATATTTAAATTCTACACAACAACACTCTCTGAACGTCGAGAGATACGAGAAAATTTAACTCAACAATAAAGAGATCGCAAAAGAAACAGAGAAAATTAGGTCAGATAAGATTTGTTGGGGGTAGCAACTGTAGCAAGAGGGATGGAAAGAGAGAGAGAGAGCATACAGAAGAAAAGGAGATGAATTTGCATTGTTTGAAAAATTTCATATTATTAATATTTATATGGTCGACTGAAACTGAAGAAGTGAAAATGTTTCAATTGAGGCACCGAAAAAGTTCGCTTAACCGCCTCCACTACCAACATCCCACCATCACCGTCATTCGGCAACAACAACAACAACAACAACAACAACAACAACAGCAACAACGACAACAACAACAATAACAACAACAATAACAACAACGACAACAGGAAAAACAACAACAACAACAGCCAAACTGAACCGAAATGAACTGAACTGAACCGCACTATAAACAGAAACAAAAAAATCATGTCCATAAAAAACATTTTTCAACTTTTTAAATAAAACCAATCTATTCATATATACCAAAAATAATATTAAAAAAGTATAAATGTATATTTTTTCCACCTACAGGCTTATTTCCAGCCTCAGAAACTAACTGGCCGGCCAACTTGATTTTTTATCAAACTTCTTCATTAAGATATAAATCAAAGATGCAGGGAAGAGCGCGCGGAAGGAGATGGTCGGAGGACCGGTCGGAAGAGGAAGGGAGACGGGGTAGGGGAGAGACGAAGCAAACCACAACAGTGTAAATCAAAATCAAAAATCAAGAAAGAAAAAACAAACAAACAAACAAACAAACAAACAAACAAACAAACAAACGAATTAATAAACCACTTCTTATGTAAGATTTGTCCGCAATACTTATGATTCATTGATGAAAGTTAGTGCTCTAAAAAGCAAACCTAACTTTATTAGCCTGAACACTGGTAGCCCAGTTTACCAGGTTTATCTAAAAGCTGAAAGGACATATCGTCATCAAAACAAACAACGTTATATGTTCACATGAATCTCGAAAATTTCCTGTTCTTCACCTGCAATTGTCAGACACTTCTTTTTCCTTTCTGGAATTACCTCGATGAGTCCAAATTTCATGGTAAATTTAACACAGAGCTGGTGTCTACAAGAGGAAGAAAAAAAAGAAAAAATTTATTTTTGTTTCCAGACACAACAAAACACAACACAAAAAAAAATTCCACACATATACATATTGTTTCTGTTATCAAAAATAACCGTTACGTATACGGGACGAGTTGTTAAGCGAGTGGTAATGGCAAAAAAAATTTTTTCTTTGTGCATTATAGAAGCCCTCCCAGAACTTAGTTTTGATCGAACTGCAAAGTAACAATGGGTAAAAAAAATTTTAAAAAAAAAAGTATGATTTTTAACTGGTTAAACGAGAAGGGGTTATAAACAAAGTGCAAGCGCAAAACAGCGTTTATTTGGCATCCCCGCAAAAACGTTGTTGAACTTGCCCACCACCAGTGGTGGAAGGAACACTTGATTCACATCGTTTTATCCCGTCCCATTGTTGCTGCCAGCAAACGGCAAATAGGCAACAACCGGCGTGCAGACACCAGGGGATTACACTTTTGCGGTATTTGCAACTGCAGTCTCTTCTTTCCCCTCTCCTTTTCTCTCTCTTTCACCCCCCCCCCC